CTGGTCTCTGTGCCAGAAGAGGAACTTCGGCTTATTCGCTGATGAAATAAGAAGCCCTGGAAGCCTTTGGACTAAGTGACAGGATTTGAATTACTTCTGTTCCACACGCGTGAGTCCTCTGGGCAGAAAAAAACTGTTGAGAGAGAGAGAGGGAGACAGAGAGCGAGAGAGCGATTGATTGATTCTGTTTAGATCCTGCACATATTTTGAAGGAAGAGCTAACAGAGAAGGCTGGTAGTCTAGTGGTGAAGTGAGAGGGAAATAGCGACATCAAGGACAACTTCAAGAATTTTCTTTGAAAGCAACTTCTGACTCTCTGGAAGGCTGCTCTTAACCAGGTGGGGGAAGACTGCAACAGGAACTGGTCTGGGGAGAACATGTGGAGATTTTCTTAGACATTTGAAGTTTGAGATACTTTGTATGCATTTAATGGAAAGTGTGGAGTAGGAGATGGGGAGATGGTGGCAGAAGTCTGCAGCTTGGGTGGGGGTGTGTGTGGAAATGTCCATGTGGGACTGGTCAGTATATAGGTGGCATTTAAAGTGATCAGACCGGCAAGCTCAACATGGAGTAAGATCCCATCAAGATGCCCAGAGATTGAGTCCCAGGACAGAATGTTAAGAGAAGAACCAGACAGAGCATGATTTTCAAGGAGAGGCTGATTGATCAGAGATAAGAATGGGAAAGGACACCTGGCTGTAGCAAAGAAGCAGTCACTAGGGACCCTCAGGAGACCTATCTCCTTAGAATAGTGAGGGTGGAAAACTGCTCAGAGAGGATTCGAGAAAATGGAAGAACAGAAGTTAAAGGCAGCAAGCGAGGAGAAAAAATTAGGAGATTCTCGTGGTAAAATGAAGCAGCGGGAGAGAGGGAATCTAGGGAGAGAAGGAGTCTAGGAAATGTTGCATTAAAAAAAAAACCTGGCAGATATTATAGGCTGCTTTAAGCTGCTAGAAATGATTCAGTAGAGAAAGATTTCCTGATGCAAGAGAGAGGGGCCAGTCGCTGAATCAATGTACCTGATTTGGTGGGATGGGTATAGTACATGGCTGTAGCAAAGAAGCAGCCACTAAGGACCCTCAGAACCTTCAAGTTCAGAGTTCAGAGCATGGAGAATTCATCAAGTGGTCAGAGGGAGTATGGATGCAAAGTTCCAATTGTTTTTGTTCTACCAATCAAAAAAACAGCGCAGCCATTACCACTAAGTAATAAGCTGAAGTTGGAGGTTTGATGTAAGGGAAGAAGGTATGAAATGAAAAGGGAGAGGATAAGGAATATAGTAGCTTTGCTGAGAAATAATGGGTTATAGAGTAGTTGGCGTTTTAAACATGTGATAAAGCTGATTACGCAGATGGGGGATGAGTCGCTGCAGGAACTCTAGCATTCAGGTAGACAGAGTAGCACCACCTCAGGCTAAAGCAATAAAACCCTAAAATCGAAACAACGTTGGATGATTCTGAGGTCACTTTGGTCCTTTTTAACAGTTCAGAGTCATCTTTCTGAACATGAGCTAGTAATATCCTGCAGATGTACAACTGGTAACAGGAAGTTCTGAGCTGTAGATAATAGACTGGACAAACCAGACTTCAACTGCAAAACATGCAAATGTGAATTGATGTTAAAAAATTACTGATTTTCCATGCTTGGTAGGCCTGTGTCAAAATTCATTTCGTATTTGTGATACTCTAGTGTTTTGTTGAGTAAAAGTGAGAAACTGGAGGGAAATGAATTCATCTGTGCTCTCAGGCAGTAAGAAGTGAATAGGGTGGGAGAAACATTAAATGACTAGATGTCTCAGCATTCCCGAAGGTTGCACATTCCTCATGTGAGGGGGCGGGGAGGGGGGAATTGGGCCTAGAGGGAGTGGGCAGAAGGAGGTTGAGCCGGAAATGTGCTTGGCAAACTCTATTCTCCCTGTGTCCATTCCGCTGCCCCTTGTCTGTTATTTTGAAAACCCAGAAAGGTCAAGGAGGACACAGAGCGTGTTGTGCCTGATCTAGAGAACATGAAATTGGAACCTTAGCTTTGGTGGAATTTGCTTTTTGTCTCCTTAAGAAATACTTGTGAAAGTTCTGCTAACAGTGAGGGGTAAATGGTAGCCCAGGCTCTTGAAAGAGACATTTTGGGATACTGGGATAATTTCTATTATTTCACTGAAACTTAAGATAAGGGAAGTTATCTCTGTAACTTCTTGAGGTCAGTACCCATTTCTCTAGAGCCTCGTAAGAAGCACTGAAAAAAGCTAAAAGATTTGGCTAGCACTCTGGGTCAATTATTTCAAATGTATCAAATAGCTATCTGGGAGTCATAAAGCAGGTGGCCAAGAAACTGTACCATGTTGGTGGATACAGGTTGGCAGCTATTCTTTATGGCAAAACTATGTTAAAAGTTGAGCCAGAGCAAATGAACAACAGACTTAACAGTAGTGTGTCATGAAGGATGGTTTCTTATAACTGATCAACAGAACCAGTGGTGATGCTCCATTTTGTGTCTTTGTAAAAATTTGATATTAAAAATACCAGTCTGTGAATTTAAAGCATTCTCATTCTCCCTCCCTCTTCTCTCTCTTTTCATAATTATTTTAGTAAGGATATGGATTTATTTATTAGTCAGTTTTGGTTTGAGTTAGCATATTAAATAACAATAAATCTGTTTTGAGTTAGTTGAAAAATAAATCTTAAACAATAGATTCCCTTTGAGATTGCTGTATGTTTTTGCTGTTTGTATAGCTGAGACTAAAGCAACCTCATAGTCAATTTGTCAGCATGTAGCTAACCTTTGTGACACTGACCTATTATAAAATGAAACTCACTTTTAAAATTTTAGTTGATATGAAAGAAAATATCTGTTATTTGTTGGAAACTATAGGTCTAAGAGGTATAAGATTTTAAAGCTGTAATGATGTAATATCTGGATCATGTCCTGATTTTACAGATGAAGAATCAGAAAGTTGAAATAACCTCTCAAGGAGAATCAATCAAAACTCAGATCCTAGTTCCCTGAGTTTGTCCAGTGCTATCACTGGTTAGAAACCTGTATGTTTTATGTTTCTGATAGGAAACCTTTACCTACATAGCATTTAAGTTTACTTGTATTTGTGACTTTTGTAAAATTGGAAGAATCTTCAATGTTTGGTCTTCATGTACTATTTTAGGTTTCCAGTTCTATGGGATTGAGTTAAATAATTATTTTCTTATAGTGAATAGGGATTGGATCTTTTAAAATTGAGCTATAATTCACATGCCACGAAGCCTATTTCTGTTCATCCATTTTGCAATCTAAAATATAAGCTTAACTTCTATTTGGGCAGTGAGTACATGAAATCCCCAAAGGAAAGTGTGTACAATTAAAAGAAACAGGAGATAAAAAGAATTTATCTTCATCAGAACAGCATTTTGACATTGATCTGAGGATGGTGAGAAAGAAAAAAACTTCCCCCCCTCCCCCATAGTGAATAGGGTTCTTAAGAGACAAAGATGGAGGAAGATTGTACCTACTGAAAAACACTCTGTGCAAACAGAAATGGGAGAAAAGTTTAATAGAGTAAAAAACATGATTGTGAAGAAGAAACTTATATTCTAAACCAACGTACTCTCCAGGGTAGGGTGGAAGTACTTAACAGGCAGACTGTTAAGTTCATCTTTTGTTTTTAATAGACATTGAGTAAATACCTAAAAGGTACTAACCCTATGAAGGTGCAGATGAATACAGCAGATTCGCAAGGAGTCCAGTCTAGTGGTGAAGATGAGGAGGGCATTTGGGGGGGGGGGGAGCAGTATAAGAGAGGTTGTTGCGGGAATGAGATTAGACCGGATTGTTGGACAAGTGGAATTATGGTAGAAATTCGGGAGTACAGTTATGTTCTGGCTTCTATGGCATAAATCTTCCCCAGCATCTCTTAAAAAATTAGCCTCATTTGTCAGATTTGACCAGATAACTTGACATTGGTCTTCTACAGTCGCCTTCTCAAATAGGTTTAAAAATCCTTTCTTCTACCCTTTGTTTTCCCCACTGTTAGGGAGTGGGGCAAAGGAGGGAGCATGTTGAAAACTGCACCCACGTTGGCTGCCTCTGCTCTCTGCAGGAGACAGGAATCCAGGGCTTTGCCGTCGTCATAGCAACTAGGAGTTCCGCGGTCCCCCCACGTTCCTCCGACTCCTACCACTTCCCCCGCTGGCCAGCCGAGCTGCCCCTTCTCTCGCGAGACTTGCGGCAGCGCCGAGCGCCGGGGCGGTGATCTCACCCGAGACTTGGGGAGGAGGGAATGAAGGAGGGGGAGGAGTGGGGCGGGGAGGAGGGGAGGAGAGGAGGAGGGGAGAGGGGAGGAGGGGAAGAGGGGGAGGAAAAGGGCGAGAGCGGCGGCGTAGCCACCGCCGGCAACTTTGTGAGCGAGTTCAGTGCGTGCTTGAGCGAGTGAGCGAAAAAGTCTGTTGGGCGCCGAGTCCCCGGGAAGAGGGTCCCCGGGAGGGCCAGGTCTGGGTCCCAGAGCCGCCCCCCGGCCACTCCATTCCCTCCCGCCTCGGTGGATCCCTCCCCATTTCCTCCCCCACGGGTCCTCTCGGGCCTTCCCGCCCCCGTGGGCAGTTACCTGTCCCCTCCCCCGCTCTACACGCCCGCACTCCCCCGTGCCCACCTCGGACCTCGGGACCCCGTCCACCTAGCTCTGGGTTCCCGCGCCGGCCGGGGCGCCCCCTCAGCTCTTTCTCTCGGGGGCAGACGGGTGGAATGGGGGTCGCCGAGCCCCGCGGGCGGCGCGAGCGGGGACTCGGACACCCAGACAATAGTTGATACGCGGGGACGGGGACACCTCCGCCTTCCCCACTCCTCCAGGAGCGCGGCCCCGGCCGGCTGGGCGCATCCGGCATTGCGGGTACCCCTAGAAGCCAGGCTCGGGAGTTGGGCTGATTCCACCCCCGCCTCCTGCGGGCCCCCCTCCGCTCGGCGCCCGCCCCGGCCCGGCCTCGCCGCCGCCGTTCTCCGCAGAGGAGGCGGCGAGTGAGCGCGCGCCGACGGTCTAGAAGGTTTCTTTTTCTCCCCAGGGAGAGCGCGCGGCTGACGCACCCCGGACGCGCGGCGGCACCGGGAGGCCGGGGCGAGCGGTAAGTGGCTCCCGTGCCCGGGGTCCGGGCCGGGGAGTGGGGTTGCACGACTGTCGACAGCCCCCCAGTCAATTTCTGTCCCGGCTCGGGTTCAGGGCCCGGCGCAGCACACCAGGAGACCGGTCAAAGTTTGATTTCCGATTTGGTGGCGTGCTGATAGCGCAGCCCGGCGGGGGCGAGTCCGGGGTGCAACGCGCCCGGCGCGCGCGCACGCACCTCGAATCGGAATCTGCACAGCTACCTTAGAAGCTGGGGAATCTGCGCCCCCGCCACGGTGCCTGCGCCCACCCCTCGACTCGCGCCTCCTCCTGCGACCCTTCCCCTTCAGCCACCTGGGTGAGCGCTTTGCAGGCTATGCTGGAGGGGGCAGGCCGGCTGGTTTAATCGTTAGCAAGGGAGAAGAACAGCTGGGTGCCCACGGATGGTTAATTGCTCTCCCGGGGGGCTCGGAGGTAGTTAGAACGGCTGCTTTAACCTGCTTTCTTTGGAGCAAGTAAAACGGCGAGTGGGCAGGGGAGGCGTGAGGGTGCTGCAAAAAGAACTTTTCCTCCATCGCCCCATCTGTTTCCAACTTATTTCCTGACCTTAAAGGAAATTTGCGAGGCGTTCGTAGGTGGATAAGTAATTGTGTTCGGCAGGTTGAAATTTCATCGGGTTCAGCGTTTGGAAAACAGACAAGGGAAATGGCTCACGTTCAAGGAAGATGTTTTATGGAGTTGTTGGTTTTCGTTTTTGAAGGGAAGCATGGGGGATTGATGGTTTCTAGACTAGCCTTTACTTAAAGATTTTATTTTTTATGACGGACAAGTTAGAGGCAGCCTTCACAGAAATTCATATTACCTGCTAAACGATTCTATTTCTAAACTGGGAGCCAGTGATGCGATGCAAATTTCAGAGTAAATGTGCCGACTTTCATCAGGTTCCAGGTCTATCTGGATGAACTGGGGCTGGCGTTTCCTCTATAAAGCAAACCTTTCATGTTGAAACTCTGACTCAGACTCTCAAAGCTATTGTTTTTATACTGGTACTCTGTGGGAGTTAAGTGTCAACTTTCTCTTGTTTTCACATTTGAAATATGCGTCCAAGGCAAGAAATTTTTGACAGAACCTTTGGAAATGAGCTAGATTAAGTCCTGTAGAATCATTCTCTGCAGCATGTTTAGTAACAGTGTTAATTTTCTATATAATCTTGATTTAATGACTTTCTCTTTTCTCTTTTTCTTTTTTTGAAAGCTGCAATTAAGCCACCTTTACCAGGATGAAAATAATAGCTGATAGAATAATATAAAACAGTGGTAGCAGCAATAGTCTCAAATAAAAGGTTTGCATAAACCTATTTATGGTCACTGGTGTGTCCAACTATTAGATGACATACCAGTTATTAATGAAAATGTTAATATTAAAACTTTTTTCCCCATGAAATATATTATTTATACTAAGGCATTAGCATTAACAATGCATTTAAATGACGTGGGTGATGATTTGCGTTTAAGTTGTTAGGAGCAAAATAAGACATTCTGGGCATGAGTAGTTTTAGTCAGCTGACGGTTTATTTTGTTCTTATCTTAGTATGCTTAAGTAAAGGACTTTTGAACTCGACTGTATTATTAGATTTCTGTAGTTCTTTGAGAGAACAAGTTTGGCAAGTGACTCAAGACAGTCAGTAGGTGTTGCTGTTAGCCTCTCTGCAGTTTCTAGTATTTCTCCCAAATTAGATATTGCAATTCTGATACAGTGAACTTTTTAGTTCACATCCAAAGTAGCCTGCAGTCTCGGTTGTGATTTCATGGTAGGATACTATGGCAAGGTTCACTAGAACTCTTGGCAGTACCAAAACACATCACTGAAATTTTATATTGAGAGTCTCTTACTCTATTCTTTCACTATTATTTTCTAACTTTTGTCTTTACTTTGCTTTTCTTTGATTTATGTGTGTAAGTCCGTCCCTGAGTTTTCTTAAACAACTTTTGAAAATACTTTCTAGTAACTGTTGAAGTCATAGATTGAAGATTTCTTGAGATTAGTGGATCTGAGAGATCTTGACTGACTTTAAGTTTGTATATATTCTTATCTTTAAGTTACGGCTTCAATAAATGTCTGTTTTGTATTTCTTTGGGCTGTGAAACTGGAAAGTCCAAGCGAGAAGGAACAGTGTAAGAGGCAGATTCCCTGAATCCTCTTACTCCAGGGAAGTTTGTGATTGTGTGCTCCTAAATCTCACTGTCATATTAGCTTTCTGTTGCTTCAACACAGAGGAAGTATGAATAACCTGAAGATTTTCAAGTGACATATTGGCTTGGAGCCTTTTGGTTCACTGACCAGATCGGACTTTCTCTCAGGAAGACAAATGGACACATCCCTATATTAGAGAGCTGGAGCTCTGAACCAAAATGATCCTTCCTTTTGACCCAGTCAGCAGAAGTTCCTAGCTCAGATTCAGAAGGACATTTCTCCCTGTTTTCCTAACCTTTTGAGATTTGCAGTGAGTCAGACAATATTTATGGAGTGCCTTTGTGTGGGAGGTGCATTGCCGGGTCCTGTGATTGGAAAGGTGAGTAAAAGCGTATTCCTGCCCCCGTGGGACCCACAGTCTAGAGGCACCATTTGCAGTAATGTTTTCTGGCTTGGGGTTGTAACATCCTGCTGTACCCATAAAGGTTTTACATAGCAGACAAATTATTAATTTTAATTTACTTAATTTTTCAGATAACAATTAAATATTTGTCCTTAGGAGTTCTGGGATTCAAAGTTTCCAGCTATGAAATCATAATAAACAGCTGAACTTCTTTCTGAAAAACTCTTCAGCAGAGGTGGTGAGCACAACAGGAAGTTTGACAGAAACACTGTGCTTGAGGGGAGCAGCGGGTGGGTCAGGAGAGGTCTGCTGTGCCATGTAGGTCAGCTCCCGGTGGGAATTGAACTCATGCTGCAGTGGGTTGGACAGCTTCATAGTGCTGTGCTTTAACTTCTTGGGCCATCAGGGAGGGCCCAATACTTCACAGCTTTACTGCACGAATTAATGAGAATATTTTAAACTCAGTTTTACTTGCAGCTGCATTTTCTTCCTTTCTGATGAACAGATCCATAGATTGTTGAAGCTAGGAGAGATTTTGATCCATCTTCCTCACTAGTCAGGTGAGGAAACTAGCGATTGTTGAAGGTTAAATGGAAGAACTAGTTAGCCATTAGGCAGTGACTGGAAGGCAGGCTCCCACACTCTATTCCTTTGTTGCCTGTGGGTTTTTCCTTCAACTTGGAGATTGTCATGTTAAAATGTGTTCACTAGTTGTCCCCTTTAGTTTCAGTGTTTATTATATGTCTCAGCTGAGAAGAACCAAAACGTAGGGAGGGAAACAAAATCTACAGTCAGGTTGAAAATCTATGAAAACTGCTTTGATGTAGTGTTTGGTAACTGAGTTTGAGTTGCTCAGATTACAGAGTTATGGGCAAAGAAGTCATGAACTAAAGCAGCTACGTGGTAGATCCTATATAGTTGTTTTCTAAGTCATCTTTATTAACTTGGGGCATACTATATTTTTATGTGCCTTAGAGGAGCCAGACTTAGTGTGTTTACTAACTTTTCCCCCTTCTTTAAATGTATTTCTCATTTGCAAAATAAAGTGGTTGTGCCTTCCTTATTTCTAGAGTCTGACAACTTGTCGTCCTTTTCTCTCAGGACATATAAAGGTTGCTGGGACAGGGGTGTGGATAGGGTGTGGAGGGTGGATCAGGTGGAGGGATAATTGCACATTAAACAGGAAAATGTAGGCGCTTCTGGGTGAAAATGTGACTGATTTATCTAGTACTACCCTGTCTCCTAGGGTAATCCGAGCCAGGAGAGGAGAGATATCCCTGCCAGGTGGGTGAGTAGCCTTTAGGTGAGGAACTCCCCCTTTTCCTGGGAGGATTAGCATTATATTATTCTTCATTGCTCATACAGAAATTTGTGCCTTGATCCATATATGGTGCTTTTAAAAATATGGCCGTTCCACTATCACTTGAGATTGAAATTCAGCTTTCTAGCCACTGCACTTATATTTTTTTCTAAGAAAAAAAAAAAAGCCACATTGGAATTTTGCTTTTAGTTTCCTTTCATGCCTAGCTTTAAACAAAAACAAAAAAAGAAAGGAAAAAAAGAAAAAGGCAAAACAAATGCTTATATGGTAGTTTGTTTTCCAAAGGTTATTTAAAAATTAATTGTTCCTAGATGATAGCCCATGTATTCTTTTGGTGGTTTAGATGAATGCTGGAGCTGGTCAGAAGCATGGGGGAAATCCCCTTTGCGTGGAGCTCTTCAGCACAGATGCTGTGAGTGAAGACGAAGGGTGACCCGAGTGTGATCAGTTTGTGATTATTGGTGTGTCTTTTGTGGATGAGGACAGCTTTTCCAGTCCAGTCCATTTTCTTACTTTATCCTGGCCTGGGCAGAGTAAGGTAATTTCCAGTTTCAAAGAGAATGCAAGTCTTTTCTGTAAGACCCTGAGAAATGACACCAAATTGACACAGGAATGACGTGGCCTTCTGTAGTTGGACTTCAGTAAATTTATTCGCTGCGCGCAAGTCAGGTGAAGCCTGTTTTCTTTGCCTCTGGGGGCCTGGGGTGGGAGTTGTCAGCTTTTTGATGTCACTTGTTACTTGTCATGTTGCACTAAGTTCTCCCTTTGATTAGGATTCTCCTATGCATGACTTTAAATTGTGGGAAACAGGCAATTATGTAATACTAGATTTCTGTTTTCAATTCAGCAGATACAGGAGGAAAGTGGGTATTTGGAGAAAGCCAGCTCAAGAGAGGGAGAATTGCTGGTAGGCACAGATACTGGGTCGCACAGATACTGGGTCGAGCTGACCCGACGTCCATCTGTGGCCCCTCTGGATTCTGTGCTCTCTCCTCCAGAGTAGGTCCAGGCGAATGAACTTCACAGACGTACTAGTTGACTTTGGTAATTCCTCTTTTCTCTTTCCACAAAGCCTTTACCGGAGCTATGGTTTTATAGTCACTAG